TCTGATTCGGATACAGTCAATGATAGAGCTATTCATCCAAGGTGGCAACTTTTTCCATTTCACTCTTTTCTCGACAATAGGTGCGTGCTGGTTGATTATACTATTGAAAATCAATGTCCAGGTGTCCAACTTGTCATTAACATCTTGGAATATATCAATCACTGACCATGGAGCGGTATCTAGGTTGTAAATAAAACCTTCCTTGTCAAAATTCTTGAAGCTACGATATTTGATGGTATCGTGATACGATTTGGGGGACTTAAGGTCGCAAAACTTGTGTACGAAGCAGACTGGATAGTGATCACTCAGTCCATATATCGCGACTAGGGTTTCGATGATCCGCTCTGGATGCGTAACATAAACATGATCTAGCAACGCGGCCGAACATATCGATAAATCCGATGATATCAATACATGTAACTTTGAAACTTTGCCAGCGTGTGGGTATTGAGTTTATCGATTGGTCAATAACACTTAAATTCAATTCATCGATTGATATCGACTTATCAAGTGGTTTTTTATATCGATTTTTATCGATTGACTACCCCGGGTTCCATTTGATAGCATCATAGCATGCGCTCAAACTTGTGACATCAATTGCACATCACCTTTTAACCTAATTATGAACATATCACATACACCGATCGGAGTTTCGACAATCAAGTTGTTAAGATTGTCCCTTGCGGTTGAACGAGCAGAATGTGAATATAAGTAGAAAGCTAAAGCCATAAACAAGTATAGATTTGTTGACAAATGTTTGCATCCACTACAGTCCCATTTTACGCGAGGCAATTACAGCAGTAAACCATTCATTAAAATAAATTACCTCATCTAATATTTCTGTGTCTTCAAGTTCTCCTTTTTCATTGATGTTTCCGAATAAAAACCCTGTTAGGTTCAGAGAACTGTCTTCGTCCTCCGATTCCGCCATCTTGGCGGCAGCGCGCTGTGACTTCTGGGAATAGTACCCAGTCTCCTTAGGTATCTATTCTGGAAACATATAGTTCTTTAGGGTTTTGTGCCTTTTGAAGAGCTTCTCTTCCTATCACCCCTGTTCCTGCGCTATTAGGTTTTCAAAATGCTATAAATTCAGTAACAAACGGGTCAAGTGTGTCTTCTAATTAAGGATTATCGGCAGCATAACCCAAAATAAGGGGTTGTTTCTCGAAAAACTACAAGAAAGGAAAAACTACTGCTCGGAAAGGAACATGTACAGAATATTGATATGTATGTCTATATCTGACCATTTGTTTGCATATTTTTGTTTCTCTTCTCCTATTAATTGCTTATTATCTTCTCGCGTACGACCAGTCAAGCTGTCAGTCAGGACTGAGTCCTATGGCAATAATCCGAACAACTTTATAGATTTGCACATATTTTTTTTTCCATTGAACAGAAGTACTGTTCACGTCCGGTGAATCATACAGGATCTTTACTCTTTGCGTGAGGCGCCCAAAAAGAGGTCTGTGTTAAACCTTGGGGGGTAGATCCCAGATCAACTTTCAACTCGAAAAATTATTGTCGATTCATATTTTACACAGTTAATTTCATGGTGTAATACGCTTCTAATACGGCTTCAATACTGCTTCCGGACTGAAGGCGTCAAATTTGTAACTAGTCAAATATTTTTATACAATGATGGCCAAGGCAGGTCTTATATAAATAGAGCCCTTACAGGTCGAGTTCCACGCTTCGAGTTATCAATATAAAACGGACGCCATCTGCCTGTAAATACTCGGAAATCGTTGTCATTAGTACGTGATGGTGAAAAATTGATAAAGTTGGATCTGAGCGTATCAGCAGATATCTACTGATATGATGACAAATATTACCCTTTTGTCTTCCACAGAAGCCTTCAAATTGCGTGCAAATGGTCAGCAAAAATTTGAAAAATCTGTTCCCCTGTCTGTGGATTTAAAGTTCCCGTTATGAAGGAAAAAATATTGTGAAGAGATAGGCGCGAACCAGTTGCACACTATTTAAGTGTTAAGGAAGGAGGGTTCGAAACTCTTCCATGTCATGTTTTCTAGAAAATCGCCAACAGCAAGCCTAAGGCTAAGATCGTTCCCCGTGCCTCCCACAGTTATGGTCGAATTCACTCAC